GATTTTTGCATTCATTTCAGATGGTACCAAAGAATGAAGTGGATCATGAGGATAGGCCAGCGGGGTCGTCGAATTCTTGCTTAGAGAAATGGCTACCAAATAGTGGTCAATCTGCAGCATCGTCACCATCATCTTTACTGTTATCTGATCGATGCTTAGTTAATCGATCTGAAGATTCCAGAAATTTGGATATCGGTTATGTACCGTTATTTGTGGCTGCTCCGATGGTACGGTACTCGAAGTTCGTTTATTATTATTGTTATTATTATTTTTGTTGTTATTATTATTCTTTTTATTGTTATTATTATAATTATTATTGTTGTTGTTGCTTTTATTATCATCTGATAGTCGCTGATATATTATTGATATTGTTTTATCGGTGATGCTTTGGTAGAGCTATCACTATTGTTCTGATATTGCAGTGCTGTATTACTTAGATTATAGAGTGCAATCGCTCAGTTCGAAGCCGTTTCATGCATAATGGGAATTAGTGCTTGAATAGTNCAGCAGATCTTGTTTATACACCAATGATTTATGCGAAGGATTTCATCGCCTCTCAAATGTGTCGTTCCTCTGAGTTCACAACGTGCGAAGGTGAGAATTTGAGTATGAGTGCAGTCAGCGATCAGTCTAGGATATGCACTCAGTATTTCGTTTATATTCCGGGTGTTCCATGATCATCTTTTCTTATGGTGCACCGCAATGTTTTGTGAAATGCTTCATAGTGCACTTCATTTCTTGGTCCCAACGTATGCCATAGCATCTTCTTATTGCTATCCATAAACCACATCAATCAGTTTATTTCGTTTCATTGTTTTGCCTAAGCAGTGAAATACTTTTGCGTTCCATCACTTCCTCACAATTCTCGTTGGGTCGAATAGCAATGTTTTTATCGCACTAATTTCTCGTCAAATCGTATGTGTTTTTTGTGTTCAAACTTTGAGAATAAATCTTAGTGTTTAGGCGATTCACCACTAATTGTTCAGTTCGCTTCAAATGATCCAGTTGAATTCGCCACTGCCACAGAGTTTATTTACAAGTTAGTCGGGAATGAATCTCTTTTTTTTTTTTGCTTACTAAAANTCTCATTGAATAGTTCAGATTCTCATCAGGAGTTGATCTGAATTGCGGCTGTCCGAAACGTGATGTGGTACGTGATGGTTATGGGAGTGGGATGCTAAAGAGTCCAGATCGAATCGCCGACATCGTTGCGAATTTACGAAGGCGTATCACATCGGATTCTAGTTTTACAGTATGCAACTGTTATTATTGCATCTTCTTTCTCATCTTCTTCGATCACAAAATTAGCAGTGAGTAACAAATGCGAATTCATAGTGGTTGTGTAGTTGTGGAGAATGCAGTGAGGTGGTCAACAATATCAATAATTTTCCCTGTCACTGCTGTTATTGTATTTGACTATCATTGAAGATCTCAATAAAAATTCGCGTATTCAATGATATTCGTCGAACAGTATCACTGTGCCGTCAAGTGCAGCAAGCCGGTGTATCGTATATCAGTGTTCATGGTCGCACACCCGATCAACGAGGTGAATCACCGAATTACGACGCCATAAAACTCGTCAAGTCATCACTGTCGATTCCAGTTATTGCGAATGGTGCTGTTCATTCTTATGAACAAGCACTTCAGTTGGTCAAGAGAACACACGTTGATGGTATGCGTATTCGTTTTGAATTGCTTTCGTTTCAGCTTTGTTCAGATCTTCGAAAGTATATTCGATATTTTTGTATTTTCAATAGCTCTGAAAAGTTCTCTTGAGCAGTATTATTTGTTAGCAGGTGAATCCTTTATATTCTGTCGAACTCAAATTTAATTTTGAGGTGTGATGGCCGCCAATGGTCTTTTGGATAATCCGGCTATGTTTGCCGGTCACCCGTCAACACCACTGCAGTGTATTGCTGACTGGGTCAGTTTTTATGCAACTGTATGTGTACTCGTAAATGATTAACTGTGTTCTGTGTGAATCAAATATTAGCTCACTTCTTAGCAAATTTTAAAATTTTTGACCTTCCACAGGATGGATGACAGTGAATTCGTATTTTGACATTCATCGCGAACTCTTATCGATGTCGAAGACTTTCATCACCTNTTACAGTTACGAATAGCATCGAATCAAAGCTGTTCGTTTGAATTGTTCCATCAGCAGTTGATATTCATGCTCAGATATACACTCAGTTCATCGCAAAGGATTCTCTTCAACGAACTCACCAGTCATTCGGCAGTCATTGATTTCCTCAATAATCACATTTTTTGTTGTTTTGATCAATATAATATTCACTGATCCTTGTGATTGTGTTGTTGTCATTTGAATTACTGCGGTATTCATTATCTGTTCATATTTGTCGTTATTGTTATTGTTATTACATATACAGTGGGCTAATGATAAATTTTATAAAGTTCGAATCATCAGAAATCTATTCAGTTTAATTTGATTTACTGAGAAAGGTAGTTGTCGTTTCAGTTTGTTTTGATCTAAACGACCGCATGCAATTTTATTCCAAGTGGTTCAGGGGTAATCGCAAAAGAAGACTTATTTGTCACATACATAGCATAAGTATAGAAATGTCATCAGTAGGTAATGCTTTAAGCCTTCAGATCGCGCAGTATTTAACATTTTATGTTTCACTGCAGGCTACGGTTGTAAATTATTTCGAGCCTTAGGCCGCTTCACTGCGTCGGCAAATTCAAAATTATGGATGTATATATATATAT